AAGATTTTATTTGTTTAAAGAACAAACTTATATTTTTTGGATAAAAAAATGGCATAAATGCAAAAGAACACATAGAGGTGCGCTTACAAAGTTGTTAATGATTTATGGTATTTTTGTAATTGTCCCATTTAGATAGGATTAGAGAAAATTAATTATTTAGAAATATATGTTATAATTTAATTAAAATAAAATAATATTCGAGAATAAAAACAGATAAATATTTGATAGATCTCTTTATAAGTGGTGTTGTACTGATTTTTAATATAATTTTATTAATTTTATGGGTTGACTTAAGTTTGTTTTTCGTTTTTTCCTTTTGATCTTTTTCACGGATTATAAAATATTAAAAACTAAAAATAGTTCAAGTATAAATTTAATAATAATTTCATTAAATGTTTATTTACAAATCTACGTATATGCGGGTCCTTAAGAGCATCATTATCCATGATACTCTTAAGAGTTCTTAAAACATTGTTTAATATAAATTTTAATATTAATTTCGTGTTTGAGACTTACTTATTTTTTTGCTAATATTTTTGTATCCAATGGTGATACTCACCATTTGATTTTCTTTTGCCAACTTTTGGATTCGTTTTGCTTCTTGATTGCCTTTGATGCTATTATCTCTTTGTTGTTTGCCTGAACCGGGATACAATAGAGAAAGACCGTATAAGGAAGCAACATATGTGAAGAGCAAAAGATTCATGCTTCTAATCAAATACGAATAACAAAACTACATCAAGAAAATTGGAATGCTGGAATGAATACTACATGACTGCTACACCAAAAGTTTTACAAGGAATTGTTCCCTAGCTTTAATTTGATCCCGTAGTGGATGGTGAATTCTATGATTATTAATTTGAGAGAGGCAAGCAATAGTGTAAAGAAAGTTTATAATATGAACCCCAATGGATTCAGCAAGAAAAACTCACATTGCCCTTCTCAAAGTCTCCTCCCTAAATCATGAAATCCTTGATGGCACCGAATAATAATCCGTTTTGGGTGCGATTGCGATTTGAGTGCGGAAACAATGCGATTCGGAAGCGATGCGATTGGTTAAAACTATGAATGGAGATGTGATTCGGGAGCGATGCTTTTACCCATATTTTCGAACGGTAGTACGTTTTGAAAGCAATTTGAGAGCGATTCAAAACAAAATTACCAAAAAAGGCATTGATTGTATTTTTGTTTTGTTTGTGAATTATGTAAGCTTATATTTCTAAAATGTCATACATTTTATGTCGCCAATTGTATAAAATTTATAAACATTTTAATTATTGACAGCACAATTGATTAAGAAAGATCATTTCTTCCATCTCTTTAACACATGCAGCCGAACTATATGTATAGAAACTTTCTCTACCTCCCATAAAGAATCTTCCTTGGTCTTCAATAAGATCCAATACTCGATCCCATTGATCTGCCTTGGACATTTTCTGAGATGATTTGGATTGTTTTGATCTTGACCGTTTGTTGGTTCTCTGAGGCTGGTCAGAATGATTTTGAGCTTCAGGTTGGCTATTAGGCTCACTATCTTCAACAGATTTAGCTTCAAAGGTCAACCAACTTGGTCCTTCATGATGTTGCTAGCCATCATAACCAGCTGAAATTGACACTTCAGAGAATAGATTTTCGATCAGCGGAATATCATGTGAAGGATAGTTACGAAAAGTTTTTGCTTCTGGTTTTTCCTACAAATAATTAACATAGACATACATAAAAAATATTCTCAAACTTTAGTAGAACTAAGTTCTCAAACCTTCAAACAAAAACTTTGCTAAGTTAAGCATAAACAATAGTTAATTTAGAGTTATACCTTGATTAAGTTTTCCCACCATGTAAAGGGCATCTCAATTGCTCCTGTCTCTTCATAGAATTTCACTCCAGAAGAATCAGGTATAACCCGTTTGTACACTTCATACTGTCTCTTAACAGTGTCTAAACGGTTTCTAAACTTATTATACTTCCATTCTAACCCAAACATATCTCTAGGTGTCCACGGACCAGCTTAGGCGGTCACTTAAACCTTTTGCTATCGGTAGTTGGCTCATCTGTAGACTTTTCTGATCTTTGTTGCTTTGTCATTCTCTTAAGTCTCTCAAACCTATGAAACACACAACATTGAACAATCAGTGATCATACTACTAAGAATTTCACTTAGGCGTTTTATCAAACATCTAGGTTACAATGTTTACAAAGCATTATCTAACGAATACAACATATTTTTTTCTTTTCTGACAACTAATACAACATATAAAAAAAGAACGAAGTCAAAACTCTGTAAGAAAAAAGACTAACAATACAATTATTTCACTCATGCATTTTATCAAACATCTTATGTGCAATGCAAATTCAATATTTGTTTGAAACCAAAAGTCAACATATCTATTATAATGTCTGATTAGAAAAACGAGTGTAATTTCAGAACAAGCAATATCTCAATTCCCATCACTATAATATGCCTTCTAATCCAAATTGAATTTTTTTTAATGAAAATGCAAAAGAAGACGACTTACTAATTGCAAAGCTGGCGATGGAGAAAAAACATAAACGACGGAAATGATGTCGGCGACGGAGAAGAACAGAGATGACACCGACGACGGAGATGACACTGACGACGGAGAACGACGAAGAATAAAGGCTCTGATGGAAATGATGATCTGATATTGAGATGTGAGTAAATCGTGAGAAGGGTATTATATCTATGTGATTCTTATAAAAAAGTAAGGGTAAAATCGTAATTATCAAATTTCTTAATGCTTATCGCATCCCAATCGGATCTTTTCAGAGCGATTAGCAGAACTTGTTTTTTACAAAGAGCTCATCGCACCCCTCACGCTCATGAACCTAACCGCTCAGAAACTGTTTTGCCATTCATCATGACAATGCGGTTAGGGTAATCACACCGCTGCCAAACGAACCGCAGTGCCATTCGAGGCCAAATCCCTTCTTACCTGAAGCAAAGATCGATCACATCACTCCCACTAACATATATAAAACACAACTTGTGAAATGGAACCGACCTGGGCATAGTGCACGGAAATTCTCCACAGTCTGGGGATCATCACCATAGAATCCAATAACAATCCTCCTAGCTAACTTCCCCACTAGATTTCCAACACTTATATCCAAATACACCTTGTGCGTTATTTTTGATTGTGGTTCGATTAACACCTGAAATCATAGAACCAGTAATAAAATCCACATATCCATAGCTTTGCAAATCTCTAATGAAAACTCTAGAGTAGCTGCATGGAGTATCAATCGGCTCATGAATTCCAACTTCATGAAATGAAATCAGTAGCGACTCTTCCTCCTAAATACAAATTTCTTTACAAAATTAGAAGATGAGAGGATCCCTAACCTAAGCATTCGATTGAACAGAGAAGCATCAATTGTTTCGTTTGGTGGAAGACGTATGAAGGAGGAGCGATGAGGTGGAGAAAGTAGTCGAAGACGAAAACGTGACGGAATCGAAGGCGATTTGTTCCAAAATCGGAAAGAGGTAGATGAGAGAGTAGAGGAATTGATCTGAGAAAGTCTTCGTGGAGTGGGTAGGAGCGACTGCGGATTTGACTACGATGATACCGAAGAGGGGAGGATGACAAGAAGAACATGTAATGTAAAAAGAGAAAAACTCAAAGAGAGAGAGGAGGAAACGCAACAGAGTCATCGACAAAATTCGCCATGGGAGCTCAAACCAACCTCTTGCTCGCTGTTTTAGCAGGTGATAGACGAAAGAGAGTAATAGAACCTGTGAATAAGAATCTATGAAAAGGATTTTCTTATTTCTCGTAAAGAACTGTAAAGGATTTACATATGTTATATACAACTAAACCGTCTCACTATACCAGCTAATCTAATGTAGCTATTAAACCGGTATCTATACAATAAACCGGAATCTATACATTAATATTT